TTGTTGATATTGTCGTGGAGGAACTGCTCGAGGAGGTACCCGTTGGCAGCTAAATACTTGTTAGTCATGCCTCACGCAATGATCTTGAAGTTGCTTACAGTGAATTTCGACACCATCAAATCCGGCCTGTTCCACAGCTCTCTTTGAGGCGGCAGCCCATTCGGCAGTCATATCGTGGATCTCATCGATAGTCATGGCGCGTGGAGGACCGTCCTTGGTCTCCATGCCATCCATATAACTTCCGCTCATCGGAGTAGTTCCCGAGGAAAGGGGAGCTTGTCCACCGAGCATCCCCGGTGAAGATGCCCGGCCAGTGTGCCATAGCTGAACGAAGATGAAGCCTCCCTTAGCATGAACGGCATCTGTGACCTTTTTCCAGCCCTGCAGCTGAGAGTCGGTAAAGACGCCAGGAACACCAGGGTAACCACTGGCATTGAGGCAGATGTCCGTGGCCTCTGTGATCTGAAGACCACCGGCACTTGCCCGATCGCTGTAATATTTAACAACACGGGGACCGGGGACATGAACACCCCTGCTCTCGCGATCACATCGCATACGGGTGTTGGGAGCCTAGATTCTTAGTTAGCCAAATACCAAGGCGCTGATTCATTTTCAAATAAACAATTCAATAAGAAGAAAATATGTACCTGAACAACACGGTGCTTCAGCGCAAGTTTGCCGAGTTTATGGGGCGAAAACAAGGCTGTGCCCTCAAGAGCAGCCAGAACTGGTGGGGGTGTGACGGCGACAGGCATAGTGCACAGCTTCTCAGTCGTTTAGGAGAGATATGATGAAAGCCGGCGATAAACTTGGATTCTAGAATATCTCTTATTGAGATGCAAGCGCCCTTTCAATAAAGGAAGATGGTCTGATCGGCAGTACCTTGGCAGGGTCAGATCAGACACTACCTCTACTATGGATCGTTAGCCCAAGTATCAAGGCTGGGGAATCCCACTGTTGTCGTCACCCCATCCTTATTCTATCGTTGGCCACGGGCTGTGTGTAGTATCATACAACCCCGAGAATCCAAGAGTGGCAGTCTGATTCCGGGCTGATCCCTCCCCCCGCTCGCTTGTGCAAACCCGAGACTGGATCGTCCCCCATTCCTGACCTCCTACCCACATGTAACCTCCTCAATCCCCCACTCTCGATAGTTGAACCTCGCTTACGAGCTCACTATGCATGATTGGTGAGATGGAAACCCCACCTTAGATAGTGCAAGCTGGACTCGAACCGGTGTAATGCGGACGAAGATCGGAATCTAGATCGCAGCTAACCGGATGACTTCTCCGCATTGGTGGGTGATAAGAGGAGGCAGATGATAAGATAAATGTGTTCATGGAATCAACAGGTGCCGCTAGACGATTCATGACTCGCGGCTTCACAGTTCAAAAGAACATTGACGATTATCGTGTCAATCAAGTCAACTTCTACGCAGACCGCCATTGTATCACCATCTATTATTCTCTTCTCCTGTCATCAATATGTTTCGCTTCTTCGGACTCACTTCATCTGACGCCTCGGGCTCTAAGCCGGCACCGGACCGAGGGCTGCCAGCCTCTTGGTATCGCTCCAAGGAGCTCTATGAGCTGGAGCGCCGCGCGATTTTCTCCAGAAAGTGGATTCTCCTCACGCATGTGTTGCGATTTAGTGAATCCGGAGACTATGTTTCGTTCACATATGCAGACTTCAACTTCTTCTTGGTCCGTGACCGAGACGGGAATATCAACGCCTTCCACAATGTCTGCCGCCACCGGGCATACCCGATTGTGCAGAAAGACTCGGGAAAGGCAAGCATCCTGAGTTGCAAATACCATGGCTGGTCCTATGGATTCAAGGGGGGGTTGGCAAAGGCTCCCAGATTCGACACAGTGCCGGGATTTGATAAGTCCCAGCATGGCCTGCTCCCGATCCGAGTACACGTTGATAAAGTAGGCTTTGTTTGGGTCAACCTCCAGGCGGGAGATGGAGATCCAGATGTGAAGTGGACGGATGATTTCAAGGGCGTCGATGAACAGCCCAGAATGACTCAGTTCAACTTCTCAGAGGGCTATAGCTATGATCATACCTGGGAGATGGATCTTGATGCAAATTGGAAGGTGAGTGCCGGATATCCACCCTTCATTATCCCGTCTTACAGTCATTTTACTAACATATCGTCTACAGAACGTAGTCGAGAACTACAACGAGGTATATCCATCCCCGCCTTGGCCTGGCTATGTCGAATACACAAGCTAATTTCTTCCAGTGCTATCACTGTCCTACCAGCCATCCATTGATTGCTGGAGTGTCGGACTTGTCAAAATACACAGTCAAGCCAAATAAGGGTTGTTTAGAGCATACAATTATCAACAAAAGCGCGGCGGAGGATGAGGATGAGTTCCGTCGCTCAATCACCTTTTTCTTTCCGTCCACATCAGTCACTGTCACGTACGTACACCATTTCTATAACGAGATCACATCTTTTTGTTCGAGAACCTAACCTGCCCAATCCCCATATAGTCAGAACTTTTTCTATATTCAACGAATGATATGTCATGGCCCTACCAAGACAAAGATTCAAAACGAAGTCTACCGCCACAACAGCGCGACCGATGAGCAATTTGACGCGATTATGGCATTCTACAAACAGGTGTTAGACGAAGATAAGGACCTTTGCAACGGGTCGCAACGGAACCTTAATGCCGGAGTGTTTACGAATGGACAGCTGCACCCAGACAAGGAAGGGGTAAGTGATCGACTACATTCACGCTGAGTGCGGCCCTTGGATGCCAGAATAGTAAAGAACTAACAGATTCCAGGGACCCATCTATTTCCAAAACACTTGTAGAACTGAAGTCATGGCACATCGCGCGAGAGAGGTGGAACAGGGCGGAAAGGAAATTTGGCCTGCGACCCCTAAGATTAAGGGTCCCATGGACACGGAAAAACTTTGTGAAGAGGAGAGTTTCTGCTCAAAACTGGAAGCAGCAGCCTGTAAAAGTAGAGAAGAGCTAGCATGGTGAGATATGATATTGACTCAATTGACTGAGACAGATATCGAATCTTTGCTTATCATGGTGAAGCAAGTGAAACTAAGATGGCATAAAAATGGCCAAGGCATGGCGTGTAGATGGGATATGGTTCTCGTGAGGGAAAGTCTGGTGCGAAACCGTTTCGAGGACTCAGCAATACCAGCATGGACTACACTACGCAAAGTGCATGCAAATGGCACTCAAGTAAACCTAAGGCATAGAGATCTTGATCACAGCCGTGCTTATGAAAGCTTCGACAAACTGAACTCAGCATCTCGCCTCATCTTACTCGGTTCCGATAAAGTCGAGGCGAGTATCATGTAAGATATTGGTCAGCCTGGTATAATACGACTTGGTAGCCAAGGTAATCTTTTGTTGAGCGGTAAGAGATGCATGTTCGCCCTACTCTCGATATTATCAGACTATGTTGCGAATATCAACTACGCACTGAAATCATTTGCAAATGGAGAGATATTCTACCGAGTTGCATTCTGGGGTGAGTATTCATCCTGCTTGCCTTATCACATGCGAATTTCGAGAAAATGTACAAAATTTAATCATGTATCACCAAATCATTACATCACTGGGTTGCTGACGAGAATATTCGCCGCTCATCAGAGACTCTGGCCCACCGCGATGAAGAATTTGCGACTTGACTGATCACAATCGCAGCGACGAATGTAAAAAACCTTGTCCGGTAACGGAGGGGGTTGATGACGCCTAGGTGACTTTTGGGGAGTATCCCTACTCACCATGAAACGATAACAAGGCGTCAACTTGAGGTTTTCCGACTCCAAGGCGTCCTAGCGTATACCGTATCTCAGAATCATTGTTTCCCTAGCGCAGAGGAACAAACGTAGTGAATAATGATGCGAAGGACAAAGCTCGATGACGGCGGTAGGGTCGAGGCCCGCTGTCTGCATACCCAACTGCATGCGGGAGGTCACAACCACAGCTGTTGATGACGTGGACGAACATGATTCGCCCGTAAAACACCGTACACCATCATCAGCATGCTTTTAGGTTGCAGTGCTTGTAGTCGGGCCACCATCTCACCACTGCGATGAAAAAGTGGCACATTGTCATCGAATCGAGGCAGTCCTCGTGAACGCTTCATCTGCGCCCAAAAGGTAGAGCCGTAATGGTGCCCATTTCCTAGCCTGTGTCTCTCATGATTTTGCTGATATTCCGAGCACAGCCGAGGAAAGGAAGCAGCTAGACCAAATATTTAAACGATACTCATCGAGACTGACGCAAGAAGAGGGGCTTGGTCAGAAGATCGATCTCCAGTACAGCCCCCAAAGCGGCACAGAATGGCGAACAAGCAACCGCCCTCGGGACAAGCCCCGTTGTATGAGGAAGTCATGCGGCAAAAGTACAATGATCCAGCTAAGTTGAGGGATCTGCTGGACGAATTATATGGGAGAGGCAACTACTCGGTAAAGGTAATACTACCCACATGCCACCCATCACGCATCCTGGTTTTTCTACTTTCATGTGGCCTTTATGGGGTGTGTGGCAGGAGAGGCTAATCCCATAATAGACGAAGTCGAGTCGATGGATCTTACGCCTGCCTGCACCACTGAAAGAAGTATGTTCACATGCTGAGCGATCCCGCGTATCGAGACTACAGCTGACACTGAAATGTGAAAGGGCCAGATGGAATGGATCGAGAATCAAGTGTGTTTTCATTATTGAGGGAAAGTCCCGTTTGCTCTTGAATTCTCATTAAATTGTGTCAAATCAAATAACTTTTAGTTGTTTCCTGCATCTAAACGAGATGACTTGTTTCCTTTTGATATCCAGCCCCAGCTACCCACGCATGAAAAACACCTCACACTCAAACACCTCAGCTTAACAACGAATGACTTAATACGCTGCGATATGCTCCGCGTAACATTTCTCAACACGTATGAAAGAACAACAAACACAGCCCCTCCTATCACACTCAGCCACGGTATCCCCTCTTCGACTGGTAGTAAGCTGTCAGACTACCAGGCTTCTCCTTGTTGCGTGATCATTCCGGGCGGTGTTGGCGTGTGACGACTTACTAGAGTTGGAATTCTTGGTATAGAAGCTCGACTCCCTCTGGCATGCGAATTTCATGGCCCGCAGCTCTCTCACTAATTTCATTGACCTCCATCTTGTCTTTGGATTCGGGTCCAACATATGGTCCTGGATAACATCCAGCATCTGATTGATATAATCATTGCAGAAGCGATGCTTTTTCAGCTTCTGGATCCATTCTTTGACCGACGGCTTCAATTCAGCATCTTGTTCCCCATTGGGTTCTGTAGTGACGTTGAAGAAGATATCCACATCGAAACCGTAGATATCATGCGCCATCCTCGTATTGGTAAAATCTTCCAGCACAGCCTTAGTGCCCAAAATATACCACGAGATATATTCAAGATAGACACACCCAAGACTGAAAATGTCAGAGGCTGGAGATACCATGCCTTTGGGAGGAGGTAGATCGAATTCAGGAGAGCGGTACGTTTCTGTTCTTGCTAAAGATCGTGGATCCTGTTTGGACCTTGAATACTTGGTCTGCAGTCTCCCAAGTCCAAAGTCTGCTAACACCAAGCTCTGCTCCGGGGCTTCCGATTTGCCTGTTTCGAAATATAGGATATTACCTGGCTTGATGTCGCCGTGTCTGCCATATACGTTCGGGTCTGAAACATTTGCAGGTAAGAATTTCAAGTTCTCCTCTCTGTCGTTGTGTATTATCTGCAGGCCCTCCGCAAGGCCGCAAAATTGGTCTGACATCCAGACACAATGCTTGGGGTCGCCAATGAATCTCTCGTTCGCCTTCCAATATCTCGCCAAATCTCCTTCTGCCCAGTCGAAGAGTAAGTAGTAAGTGGGTCGGTCCTGTCCTTGTGCAGAATTGTGCTCTTCAAATGTGGCAAGGAGTTTAATCAAGTGGTCCTTGTTCCCTTTCTGATCGGCTGAATAGATCAGTGTCGAGAGTTCTAGGTTGAAGCTTTCACGCTCAGTATAACGGGGAGTGAGCTTCTTCAGAGCAAAGTAGCCCCTATGGTGTCGTCCCTACGGATAGTACATGTTAGTTGAAAATACGGTTAAAAGATACCTAAAGATAAATGAAAAGCCCATACCTTGGTGTCACTATGATTGTAGTGACATTTCGATATTTTCACCCGATATACCTCACTGAATCCACCGTACCCTCCATTAGCCCCCCCGTTTGTGGCGTCCAGGACTGCTTGTACACCTTCATCGTTTTTATCGATCTTCTTGTGATCGTAGATTGGCAAACAGCTTCCGTCACGGATGACGTAGTGAAAGTGTTTCCCTTCCTCCCATTTAATGTATGGAGCCACGAGGGCACGAGCCGCGTCATTGAATCCTTTTCGGAATAAGGAGCGCTTTTTGTTAAACCCTGCGTGCACCTTATGTTGATCGCAGCTCAATCGGAACCCCTCCTCGCTGAATGTCAATGGAAGGCAGTGATCATTCAGCTCGTCTGCCCTATGGATTTCAATGTCCTGGATCTGCTCGCTCATAAGCAGTGCGCCGAAGACCTTGATACACGGTGGTTTGGATTTGTTTCCGAAACATATTTCTTCGGCCAATTTACGCCTTTCATCACGTGTTTTCGCTTTGTAGCATGGCAACTTGTTGACTACCTGGAGGACCTTTTCCGGTGTAAGAATCCGCTCGAAGTCACTCCTCTGGACGTAGTATCTGTTGCTATCCAAGAAGTATTTTTTCATTGAATTATTCAGATCGTCCTCTAGGGTTGACAAGAAATCCTCGAGGTCGGGAACATCTCCTAGAAACTGGATCTTGCGAGCCTTGGTGTTATCGTGGTAGCATAGCCTCTGTCCGTGGTCCAGGATCCTTTCCACTCGGTCTGGATTGTCTAGCCCAAAAGCTCGTTTCCTCACATGGGGATCATTGGACGACGAGCCATTGATGACGCTTGGTGACATGATTCCGTGCGACTCCGGGGAAATCCTTAGGTCTCGGAACCGGTAGGAAGAAAAGGCCAGACCGCGTCTTTGCCCCCGAGAGCGGAGCTGTCGTGCTTGTACTATGTAAGCGTCGGGGAAGGAATCCTAAATGGGATTAAGTCGGTGTGTAGCAGAGAGTGGCGGGAGTTCAAAAAGTGCAAATGGAAAAGGGGGTTTGGATCGGGGCTGCTGAAAGTGCCTGAAATCCGCCCGTCTGATGTGCAGTTGGCTGCTACATGAAATACTTCTCTCTACTTCTGAGCAGGCAGCGATACGGCAGAGCTACTTAAACTGCTGGCGCCGCCTCACTTTTATAAAAATACTCGGCCAGTTCGCCTGAACCAATTTCCTTGGTGGCTGCCCGCACTTCACCTCAACTCGTCAGATTGCTACATCACATTGGGCTGCGACCAGCGGAGAGCTGCAAGGCGTCCATCATCCTTCCGGTCGCCTTACACAACAGCGCATAGCCAGCCAACCAAGATACTAGCTCCGGCTCTGTGGGGGTTCCGGTGAAAGTAGGGGGATTGTGTCGAAGACGGTGTGTGTGGCAATGTCGGACAGCTGGGCACGCATCCAACATTTGGACGTGCGGATTCTGGACTCCCGACATTTCATTTTCTGCAATCAGTTCCTCCGTGGTTCCATGGCCAGCACTACGACATCTAGATACTTGCTCTGGAACGTTTGGAATGGATTCGCAACAATCAGAAAACAAGAGGCGTGAGTCGTGGGCTATGATCTGAGCTCGCTTGTGTATGGTATTCTCCCAACCCCTAAAATGCCGCAGTTTCATTCAAGATGCTTCGCCTCGCGGCTTTCGGCGATACCCCAACCACCCTCCAACAAATGCGACTGCGGTGGTTGGTGTGATCGTGGTGGGTGGCTCAGCTGAATCAGGGGGCAATGCTGCATGCATGGGGCTATGCAGCTTCAACATCCAACGCATCACAAGACATTCGATGGCCGTTGTTGACACGGCGATATGAAAATCGCATGTCGTGGAGGTTGAAGGGATTATATTGGATATAAGAGCTTCTTCGTGGACTAATTATAAGGCAAGACGTGGGCAGTCAACGTGGTACGAATGATTCCATGATACGAAGCCCTGCCCCAAAGCAACTGCCTGTACGTCACAGAGGTGAGACAAGGGTTTGTTAAGCCCTAATGGCAGAAAAAAAGCACAGCCAAGCCAAGGACTTACCGTTGCCATACCATCCGAAGTAAGGAATAAAGGTCGAGGTTGGTTAATTTACTTTCTTCGTAATGCAACTCCCTGCCCAGCTGGACTAATTTATATTACTGTTACTATCCTTAAGATCCTTGGGTGGCCAAGTGGCAATAATTCGAGGCCCTTTTTAAGCCAGCCCTCTCCCACATCATTTGCGACACAATTGTGTATCGTTCAAGTCGCAGCCTTCCGCCCGACAGTCCCTCCGATCTGAGATAACCCTCTTCGAACCATGTCTTCATCGAACTACTCTCAAGGTTCATCGAACTACACTCAAGGCTGGTCTGTCCCGGATTCCTTTGTCGAATGGAAGAATGGCGAGGACGGCAAAATGAACGCGTACGTGTCAGCGTCAAACGTCAGCTCCCGCCAATTGAAATCTTACCTGGATTCCAATTATCCGGGCCAATATTCTGTTCAAGTAATGATCTGACTACCCAATCGGCTTTTGTCTGGAATTTTCACTGACCCACGCACCTTGACAGCTGAAACGAGATCAGTTCAGAATAACTGTCCCCCGAAGCTAGCCTTTACCTATTGACTTGGGTGAAAAAGTGTAGAGCGGGCAACCACTCGCCGCAATTCGATTCAATTTGATATCAAGTATAATATCCCGGAAGAGACATACTAGAAAATACCCAAGGGGATGCGGGGAGGGAGTTGAAGCATTAGGGACGTGTGGCTGACAATCATGTTGAAAGAATTTATGTTCATCTCAAACTCAAACATTGCCCCCTGAATGGCCAAAGCTATCAATCCTAGGCTAGGCTTTTCTATTAATTCCTTCAGCACATGCCGGGCATTCAATTGCTTCCTACATCATGGAGAATCTCTTTGGAACCCTAACCCTGTGGCCAATTTTGCATTTCACTCTGAGGAAATCGGGCACCCCAGGCTGTCATTTGCGCGAAGTTTAATCTTATACATGCTTTAATCAGATCATCGCTAACTAGAAGAAAGAGTACGGGCGAAATGAAGAGGCGTGCAGACCAATATCCATCATATCGCGACGGGTGCCTGGGGGTTGTCCAACCAGAAAACCTAGGGCTCTTTCAATAATAAGCCACTTGAGATGAAGTAAAAGATAACTTTGTAGCCGTATGAAGCTACCAAACGTTCTATCCGCTAGCAGCTTAGTATTTACAAGGGAGAGCTTTTATCTTGGAGAACAAATAGTCTCAGGCCGCTAAAATCTAGCCTTGGAATAGGGAAATTACTCTGCTGATAGAGAGGCCAAGGAGTACTATAAAATTTTTTATTATACTACCTAGCCCATAGTCAAAGACTAGATAAGGTCTTACCAGTGTATATTATTATTATGCTGCACGGGTTAATAAATCACTATTATAGTAAACTTAAAACTCTTATAATCAGGAGAGAGATAAAGTTCCTAACAACCACTGTATATTTCAATATTTAGATACTCCCCAAATTATTCAAATCTCAATAAATACACCTCTCTACAACTTAATTATAGAAATTCTATCCCCGTTGGTTTCTTTCCCGCATTTCAAGTCAAGCCTATCACCCCACCAGGAGAGTGCAACTTCCGGTTTGCTTCGGTAAGCTCACAACCGCGACCTATCAGAGGAGTCATTCCTGTCTTGGACCCTTTAACGACGGCCTCACTCATGTCTGGCGAAAGAACGGAGGGGCCGGACGAGGAGGGTGCTTATTCGAGGTCACGGGCATGAGGACGAGGGCGAGGAGCAGGCTTAGGGGCTGGGCGAGGAGGGCGTTTGTTTTGGCGAACGTCAAGACTGCGGGCATTAGGACGAGGGCGAGGAGCAGGCTTAGGGGCTGGGCGAGGGGGCCTCTTGTTCTGGCGAACGTCAAGACTGCGGGCATTAGGACGAGGGCGAGGGGCAGGCTTAGGGGCCGGGCGAGGGGGCCTCTTGTTCTGACGAACATCGAGATCCCGAGGCTCTAGGAGCCCTTCCTCGAAGTTACGAATCTCAAGCCCATCATCCTCGTCTCTTTCTTCAAGACCAAGATCGATATTTCGAGCGGCAATTTCCCCGACGCTTTCACCGCGAAGATTAAGATCTTCGGGTTGATCAAGGGGCTGTGCAAGTCCACGGCTGGCAAGACCAAGTCCGAGAACGGCAGAAATGCTCAAGTATTTGAGTGCAACCATTTTGAAATAAAAAGGATGAAGTTTGTAAGGTCAACTTATAAACCAAATAGAGATAATAAAGAGGAAAAAGCAGGAGCAGGTAAGGGTGAAGTATTTTATCAAAGGACTGTTTTACTTGGAATAGAAGGACAGTTGTATAGGAGAGGGCAGAGCCTAATATAGTTTTTCATATCAGTAGGAGACAGTCTTCCAAGTCTTCTCTCGCCACCCCTTGAGAATTGCCTCCATGGGATCATCATCGGATCCATGCGTGCCTCAGCTGGAGGTCGCCGATTACTTTTCCATCTAGAGTACGGTTAAGCGAAGATTGCTATATCTATCTATAGTAGATATACTAGCAAGGGTGGCTGATTATGGGAAGAGTTATACAAAGGATGTCATTTAGCACCTTCCTTTATTCAGTTAACTAGCTTAGGGGCAATGCCTCTTCTTAGAAAGGAAGCTTACACACCAACTTAACGATGATGCCAGCTAAGTCATATGGGGGCGATATTGCTTTTGGGCCTTTATTTATCGTGTTGATATATCGGGTCTGGCATCTTCTACTACTTTAGTTTACTTGATACTCGAACCCTCCTCAGGTTACTTTTGGGAACACTTTCTCGTCGCCTTGAACATTAATCGCTGAGGGTTCAGGCCCTATGTGTTCTACAATAATCGCATTTACCCAGCTGCAACACACCATAAGCGTAATCTAATTCCTGATCTAATTAACCAGCCCGGTGATCCTATCCGGGGACTAATTTGCACAGACATAGAGCAATCCGGTCTAAATGTCTCAAGGGGCTGTATTAAGAGCACAGTCGGTTCCAATCTGAAGGCATTAGCGTTCAGCCAGAACAGGCATCGGCAGGTGAAAGTAGCTGTACATAGTCAGATACAGGCGCGTGACAAAAAACATGGCCCATACAAACAATATATACAGAATTATCTAGATAATAAGTATCTAAATAAAATTAAAATAGCTATACGAAAGCTTATTTAAAGTAAATACTGTCGGTTACTTTTATCTTATTTTCTATAGTTGAATATTATTGTACAAATTGGATCTGAAAAGTAGAGGTTTGTATATACTGATGGTTTCTTTGGTGGTATGCCCCCTAGTTTCCGCCTGGTTTACGTGGGCCATGTTTTTTGTCATGCGCCTGATAGTACACCACACATGAGAAGTCCTCAGCAGCTTCACCAAAACCAAATGGATCAACTCTCTACCTGGTCCTGGTCGGAACTCATCCGTCAAGATCTTGATACGCGACCCCTGCGACATGTCTTTACGCCCACGCGACCCCTGCGATCCATCGAGGCTGGGCATAAATCATTTCCGCGCGCATTGATTACGACATGACTGCACTTCTTGAGACAGGAAGCGGAGGGTCGTTTACGGATAGAATATCATTATGAGCTGAATAACAGAATAGTTACCTCTTCGAATAAATCCCACATCTTACCGCACCATCTCTAGTTATTTATGGAATGCCTCTATTTCCAAAGGTGTAACTCTCGGCCGAGAACCAAGCACGCGACCAACCTCGGATCAGACAGCCAGTTGCCACAGGAAGCTACGTGTGAGCGACGCGTATCTAGAGCTTGAAATCAATAATCCGAAGACCGCCTCTCCCGCTAAGAAGAACAGAACCGAAGATTATGTGATTCACACTTCCCCATGATTGATCCTTGGTTACACTACCGAGATCGTATAATTCAAGCATATATATATCTATTCTCTGAGATTCTGTGGGTTTAAGGACCGTGCGCATTCCAGCGATCCGTGGGGTCGGTGGGACATATGTACGATATCAAGGCAAGCTTTGATCAAAAGGGGGCCTTCTGCCGAATGTTGAGTTTGATCGAGAACTGGGTTAGCCAGCTCTTCACCGGCGCATCCAATCAAACAAACAAACGGCCCTCGCGATCGGTTTGTTCGTTTGACGGGCTGAAATTGATTTGTTTGATTGATTTGAGGTTTTATTTGGATCGTTTGATAGATCTAGATATTTATTAATAGCTAACCTTATTTTTCCGCTTTGAAGAAGGTCTTTCCAAAGGCTCAAATTCGCAGATTTTGAATACCTCTGAAGCTGACCCTCATCTCTTTAGCCGTCTCTGATCCCTCCTTAGTGCAAATTAGCCCGCTGCAGGCGCCGCTAAGGCCTCTGAGGAGGTGTATTAGTCAGCAGCAGCCCAGCTAGCTACCCTAATTCTCAGGAAATCTAGGAAAACCTCACCTATTATTAGGATATACTAAATATATCGTGTATATCAAACTGATTAAACAAATACTTCTTAGAATTGATTTAATTGATTTGCGAAGCTTTCCTGTTTGATTTGCATCGGATTTCGTTTGTTCGATAAGTCGGTTCAATTGGAGGCGTTGCTTTTCACTTCCCCACTCATTAACAAATCTTCACCAAACTGAGCTCCATGAGAATCGATCTTCCAGGGTGATTATAGATCTCGTTTCGTCTATACCCGGATGGAATGAAAATGCTATTTTGCCTCCTCGTCGTGTTGTTTGCAATAAAGATATTCTCTCATGATCAGGTTTCTACCGCCAAGGAAGAGCAGACGATAGTTATAGGAACAAACTTATCTTAACTAGGCACTTATAGTCAAGGATGCAGCAATTACTTGGAGATACTGAGAATATTTCAATTGTTAAATTGACCACTGATTAAGTTATTGTTAACTGGTAGAGAAATCGTAGCTGACAACTTGTAAAAGAAGACTCAGCGCGAGCTCTCGCGCCAGAGTTGAACCTTGCTATAGCATACCCATCGATACCAACTATACTCAGGAAACAAACTTTGGAAAACAAATAAAAAACATTTCAATTATCTGAGATATCTCTTCGCGGAATAGACTCGTTCGACCACATATTACCGAAGTGAGTGTTGTTTCAGATCAAATTGGGGCAAAGAGATCAAACGCGGTGGATACCCTTCACGAATGACACACCCGAAGTGGAAAAAATCAGCGAGCTGAGAGGCAAAACACAGGGGAAGCCTGTCAAGATAAGATCTCTCCTCAAGTCTCTGAATTCTCTCTGTCTTGTGACGTCCCGGGATCGGCAGGAACCGCGAGCGACCTACAATGCCAAGCAAGGCGCTTCGCTGTGTTCCCCAGTCCCCCAGTCGCTTATAAACAAAAAGTATTCAATCTTAGTTGACATGATGTTGCTCGAGACTACGATATATACGGCAGTTTGTTTCACTGCTTGGAACTTCAATTAGAGGCCAACAATGTAACCGTGGGCGCGACAAGCGTGCCAGCGCGTGAATTCCATCCATGAAGGAGAACGGTGACGAATCACGAGGCTCCTGAGCATCTCAATCTCTTTCTAGATAGGGCAATTCGCCTACATCAATGCACTGAAACACTTCAGCCTACTCTATTTATGTATGGCGCAACGAGAGACGCGCTGGGGCTTCACATTCAATAGCGTGACGTACCACTGTAGAAGCTACGGGTAGCAAGCATGTTTAACAGGGCCCCTCCAATTGGATCGAATGAATTACGTGGACGATGGGGGCCATAGTCTAGGTAATATAGGGAAAAACTGCCCTGTGAGGCCCAATGGCAGGAGATTGTTTACTTACGCGCCAGCGGCACATCCTTGCTCATTCCTGAAGGAATGCAGTTCTGGCTATTCGGTAATTCTCTTCCCTGTCCCACCGCTGACCTCAGCCCGTCTCTTTTCACCGGGGCGCGTGAGCTGCGTGCCGGTTTTCACGCTTTGGACTGCCATCTTAGTCAGTTCTGCTGGAAAGGAAAGTCTCAGTGGTTGCTTACGGCAGGTGGTGGTAATATGAGACAGAATGCAACCAGCAAAAGGTACATATATCTGGCATCAGCCAGCCAAATAACCGTGGTTGGTGCTTTCTGACAGGGTGGTGGGAAGGAATCAGATCCTACTATGCAACCATGATTCCCCATCCTTCCACCACGAGTGGAGATATCTCCCACAGGGCTCCGTCCTTTCTACTCTCGGCATTGGAGGTTTCAGGAATCCCTCTCGGTCGGATGACAGCTGAAGTGTTCAAGGCACGGGGGCTAGGGGCCCTGGACTAGGAGATTTTCAGATGGTTCAATAAGGTGAGGGCAAGTATGGGCCTTTTTTGCCTTACTTGTTGATGTTTCTCCATATTCAGTTCGTCAATTGGCGGTTTTGCTCTTCGTCGTGCTTGCCATTGGGGTCGCATTGACGAAGCTATCGCCACAATATCGACGACATCGAGAAGCCGCTGCCTGGCACCAAACGAGTGCCCCTCGTTTGAACAGAAGCGATGAGGCCCGCGGCCATCATTGGCGTCGCTGCCAGTCTCTGTACGTACCGTCATCCATCAAGCCATGTCTTGGCACGTCGCTAATACGCCATGGTGCAATTGTAGATGCCACAGGAGTAAATGCGCTCGCTTCGTATACGACGGGAGCCAATGACGACATCAGGCTTCATTGGGGATTCCCCAATTCGACGATCAAAGTGAGAACGGGTAATATTTACTTCAAGATTGATGCGCCGTCTACCTACGCATGGGTCGGCATTGGTGTCGGCAAGTCAATGCTGGACGCAATGATGTTTGTCGTGTATAAGGGGACCAACGACAGCGTGACGGTCAGCATGCGAACTGGAGAGCACCATACGCCACCCGTATATACCCCGACGACCAAAGTCCAGGTGTTGAATGGCTCGGGCGTGGCAGACGGCAGGATGGTGGCGGAGGTGAAGTACGCCGACTTCAACATGGAAGGGAAAGACGTGTGGATGTGTGCGTGGGACTCTGTAGGGCCGTTGGAGCTCTCAGACAAGAAGGACGCGGTTATTCACAAGCACGACGGGAACCGACAGTTCACCATCAGTCAATCGGCAGCGGCAATAAGTTCAGAGAAGAATGTCTTCTCAGCCAGTGACGATGGATCCGACAACGGCATTGCGCCATACGTGGCGCCTGTCAACTATGATACAATTGTCCTCGCCCATGGGATCATCATGTCGGCACTGT